TGTGTGTCCACATACAATGAAAAAGGAAAGAAACATCTCAAGCCTTGTCCATTGACACATTATCTAAAATTGGAAAATACAGAAATTGGTTTGGGCCTGGTGAGGGATAACATATACATTTGTGAACCATTTCATATTTAAAGAGTTCCTGGGTGATTCTCATGAATCACCTTTGAAAAGCAAAGCAGGTGTTATGATTTAAAAAAAAATGTGGTAGTACATTTGGGTAGTTTTTAATTGGAATTAAGTTTAGAAGATATACTTTTTAAAATACCCACACCCAATATGTAAGCCATTCTTGCTCTTCTTTTGATTTTTTATATTTTTAAAACAATCTTATTTTACATACCAATCCCAGTTCCCTCTCTTTCCTACCCCCCTGATCCCCCATCTCCTACCAAATCCATCCCCTCATCCACTCCTCAGAATGGATGAGGACTCCCATGGGGAGTCAAGAAAGTCTGTCATATCATATTGAGACAGGACTAAAGTCTTCCCCATATATTTAGACTGAAAAATGTATCCCTGAATAGGAAATGGGCTCCCAAAAGTCATTTCATATACTAGGGATAAATACTGGTTCCATTGCCAGTGGCCCCACAAACTTCCTAAGTGACACCACTGTCACTCACATTCAGAGGGCCAAGTTCAATCCTATGTAGGTCCCCCAGCTGTCAATCCAGTCAGTGAGCTCCCACATGCATAGGTCATCTGTTTCTGTGTGTTTTCCCATAATGGTCTTGACTACTTTGCTCATATTATTGCCTCTCCCTCTCTTCAAACGTTCTCTGGGTGCTCAGTCTAATGCTTTACTGTGTAGCTCTGTATTTGCTTCCATCATTTCCTGGATTGAGCCTGCTCATTCGTTCCTGGCCACTTAGTCCCAAAATAATCACACAGAAACTCTATTATTTGCAATATTGTTTGTCCAATAGCTTAAGCATATTTCTGCCTTACTCTTATATCTTAAATTAACCCTTTTCTATTAATCTGTCCATTGCCACATGGCTATGGCTTACCAGCAAGGTTCCAGTGTGTCTGTCTCCAGTGACTGTTACATGGATTCTCCCTGACTCTGCCTCCTCTCTCTCTATATATATATATGTCCTTCAGCCTGGCTTTACTCAGTTAAGCCGTTGGCCAAAAGCAGCTTCTTTGTTAACCAATGGCAATAAAACATATTCATAGCATACATCACCTCTCATATCACTGAACGAAGACTCTATGATGATATTTAAAGTAGTCATCAATCTGACTACAGTGGAAGGGCAGTTCAGGCACTTTTTGCACTATTGCTTAGGTTCTTAGCTGGAGTCATCCTTGTGGGTTCCTGAGAATTTTGCTAGTGTCTCCTTTCTCACTAACCCCATATTGTCTCCCTCAATCAAGATAACTTTTCTTTGCTCTCCAAACTCGACCTTCCTGATGACTCATGTTCTCCTTCCTGCTCCCCTTCTCCCTTCCACATTCCCCTATCACCCTCCCCCCATGCTACTACTTTACTAAAGAGATCTTGTCTATGTCCCCTTCCCCAGGAATACATGTATGTATGTTTAAGAATGTCTGTCACATTTCATATGAAAGATCTTGAGTTTCTTTTCTCTTCTTATGATCACTTCAGTTATGGAGACATCAATGATTATCCACAGCTTTCCACAATTCCCATCATCTTTCAGTACCTTTAAAATTTTCCATTTTCCTTCTTCATAATAGCTGGGATGAGATTAATCAAACATTTTAATTAAATTTCATTTCACAATTACCAATTGAGACATGTATAGATAATAGATTTAATGTTGGCCACAAGGACACTCTGAATTCTATAGCTATTGTTTTGTTTGCACCACTGTCTGCTCAACAAGTGGGTTTGCATTATTTCCCATTAGTCTCTATTATTAACACTATTTTGAAATTAAAGTAATTTGTTTGAAATATGAAGAAAAGAGTTTGTGGGGCAATAAAAAGAGACATTTCAAGAGGATATCGTCTTGAAAAATAGGCATATATTGTTGGGCAGAGTTAGTCATTATTAAGTAGGAGCAGATGATGAAAGTTTTTTTAGTCTCCCAGCCCATGGCCCTTTCCTTTGCTCTCTTTCTCATATATTTTCTCCCCTTTCCTAACCCCTTCTTCCTTACTCTTTTCCTTTTGACTCCTCTTATTTCCACCAAATCTTCTTTCTTTTCTAATAGAACTTCAAAGATATTCTTGACTCATGGTCACACAAAACTGAATCCACTATAATGTGATGTGTATATCTCAGGATATAATCTTGTTTAAACTGTGTTTTTAGACTTTTGAAGTCTGCAGTCACATTCTGATTTCTGTGATTTCTTCATCTTTATGTTCTATCTTTTCTACTTATTGGAGGCCACAACATGTATTAAAAGTCAGTAAGTTTCAGCATTCTGGAGCACTCTGTATGATCGCTGTCCCATGCACCACCCCCCAAACACGGTATAGTAAGGGTTCCCCTCTGAGTTCTGTTGTCATTTCAGCTTTTGTCTGTGTTGTCACAAAACTGAGTCCTTTGCATAAACCAAGCAGATTGATAGTCTTTCATAATTTAAAGCCCCACACTTCTCTGAAAACATAGTGAAGGGAATATCATATACCATCACTTATGCCTATATTCCTACCTGCTCAAAACAGCAGTTTTTATATATAATTACAAATATTTCATAGAGGTACTTGAGTTTTATTTATTGATTCTCTCAAAAGAAATGTAACTTTGCACTATCATAATTTAAGGTGTTCATATAAAATCTTACATTTTCAATTACATCTTAAAATTGAGAATGTACTTTTATTATTCTTATAGATATTCCTTTTACCCTATCTCTGTCTGAATGCTGAGACCTTTCCATTTTATTTTCTGCTCTAGTTAACTGTTGCAGGCCTGATAATTGCATTTAAAATAAACAATTATAAATGAGAAAGACTTTCTGTAACACATCACTTGCTTTAAGGATACAGCCTACATTGCTGTGATGCAAATTGGATCTTCCTGTCCAAGTATATCACATCTATTAAATCAACTTTAAATTTTGCACTGAAAATTTTGTTGTTGGCATCTGATGCTTACAGTCTACATGTTCTTTTTTGAATTTGATGAAATAAAACTAGTAGTCCCCACCATTAAAGATATATTCTCTCACTAAATGCAAACGTAAACTCTTGGCCAAATTACGTTCTATTTATTGAATTAAAATATGTATTTGAATTGGTTTGAAATTAGATTAGAATTACTCTGAGATATATGACCTCTCTTTACAGAACAGAAATTTGCAAATTTAGGCGATTGCTTGGAAAGTTGCAAATAGCAAACTGTAAGGTGGTTCACTATAAATCATTATTATTATTTTTCCTACATGGCTGTTGATTTTAGAATATCTTTTTGATTCCTCTGGAAGACATCATCTGCAATATGATGGTATCCAAAGCGGTGATTGTTTAAAAGTCAAAAGCGTCTAGATGTTGTTTGAGATCATTTGCCATTCTATCAGGAGACAAACATTTGCCTGCCAGCCCTCATGTTGGGTCATTCATAAATGCATAAGACATTAGCTCCATGGCTTGCACAGACACATTGATAACTAATCAAATACATTTTATAAACAAAACAAAGAACCTCAAAGTATCTAAAATAGAACATAATGCATAATTTTGATCTTCAAAATGCCCAGATATTATATTTCTATCATGTGATGGCTAAACTTTTATTTTATCACTAGAATGTCATTGTGCGTATATCAGCATATTTACTGTAGATACTGCAAAATACCTAGTTACTTTGTAAATTAAGAGGATGATTTAGCTCTCAGTTTCATAGAACCAACTAATAGCCCTAAGTGAGGGCATACTGCCTGCCTAACAGAATACTAAGTGGTATAATGATCAGTGAATATCGATCAAAAGGCAAGACAGGTAACGAGAGACAGTCAGGGGTCACACTGTCCATTTTATAAAAATTCACTTTTGCACAAACAAACTCAGTTTGTAATGACAGCAACAGCCTCTTCCAACAGTGATATCCACAGTCCTGTAACTATTCTTAGTAAGGTCATATGTCTTACAGGTAACCATTATCTTAAATTTACCACATTGGAGACCAAACTTCCAGCACATTCACCCTCTGAGGACAGACAGCATTCAGATAACTGCGTGACCTATCAATTTTACCCTATGGTGAAATACTAAAATTCTTTTTTTTAAAAAAAATTCTATACTGTATTTATGTTAAGATATAAAAGATGTTTCTTCCACTACAAGATCATGTCTGAAGGTTAGATTTTATGTAATTATTTATTTAATTAGTTAATACTATGACTTTCAAGGGGCATTTGCCTGTATTGCTGTCTATCTTTTATACAGGAAGCTAGTGTGTGTGTGTGTGTGTGTGTGTGTGTGTGTGTGTGCATGTGTATGTGTCTATATACTGGCTGGTCATGTTACTGCACCTTCAGTTCAGTGTGCATGTAGAATGAAAGTCACATATCTTAGACTAGCTTGAAACTTTGCAGTCACATCATGTATCATGTCCTTTCTGATTGAGCAATGTGCTGTGTACACTGTCTGGTTTTTCTGGTCTTTGCCCATGGTGTTGGGCTTGTTCACTTGGGTTGTTCTCTTGCTGAACAGTACATATTAAGAGAACAAAAAAATAAGTCAGTCCTATTCCCCTTGGTCCTCATTTCAAAATGTGGATCCACCCAAGAAGATTAGTGGTTCTCTTCACTTTTGTTTGCCATTTTTATGGAGCACATCAAGTTTGATCACTAAGATTAACATTAATTTATTATTATATGTCAATGTACAAAAGGGTTGAGATGATTTAGAGATATATAGAAAGCCAAAAGTGTAAATGTAAATGAAACAGTGTATCTGGTTATTCCATTAAATATTTGAAAATGTTTAGCCCTATGAGTATGAATATAGATGAAACATACAATATAGATAAGAAAAGTGTTAAACTTGACTTCTTGCCTCATGTTTTGCAGGATCTCGTCTTCGTCAGGAAGACTTTCCCCCCAGGATTGTAGAACACCCTTCTGATGTAATTGTCTCCAAGGGAGAGCCCACAACTCTGAACTGTAAAGCAGAGGGCCGGCCAACTCCCACCATTGAATGGTACAAGGACGGCGAGAGGGTGGAGACAGACAAGGATGACCCCAGGTCTCACAGGATGCTTCTGCCCAGCGGATCCTTATTCTTTTTGCGAATTGTGCATGGGCGCAGAAGTAAACCTGATGAAGGGAGCTACGTTTGTGTTGCAAGGAACTATCTTGGTGAAGCAGTGAGTCGGAATGCATCTCTGGAAGTGGCATGTAAGTAAACACCATGAGCCTCATGTGCACTCGCATTCCACTTGACATTAGTGAGTTCGGTTGTGTCTTATTGATGGGTAGAACCTATAAAGTAAATTCGATGAAATGCTATATAACCTTTGCTTCTCTGAAGAAATATGGTTAGAGTACCATCAGTATAAGGACTGCAACAATTTTATTCACATCAAATTAGTATGAGGTAGTTTAAGGTCTATGCTATTATATCATGGCAATAAGACTTGCATGATGCTACTCTTATTGAAAATTTGAATTATGGATGAACTACATAGTGGATTATCACTGTTGCTTATGTTAAAATCAAAAGTTCATGTATAACATGTCAGAAATGTAGACATAGATCCAATATTGCACATGATTCTGCTACTGACATATATATATATATATATATATATACATTATACAGTACATATAAACAGTAGATACAGAAGGGAGACTATACCATCAAATATAATGGTAACTATTTTTTTAGTAAGCTTCATCAAAGAAGAGCTTGCTATGCCGTTTCAGAGTTTCTGATTTTTATTCAATCTTAATAATCAAAAGAGATAATAACTTCCTCTATTTGCACTTCTTTTCTATTTATTTATTAGCCATCCCTGCCAACAGAAATAAAGATATTAGCTCCTGGCTTCTATTTAAGCAGAGACTCCATTGACTTTGTGGGTGGTGTGTGATAGACTGTTTGATTTTAGGATTTGGGGTTGTGATTTAAGCTCTATATCTAGGTTGTGATTTAAGCTCTATATCTATACACTTTGCTCGTAGCTTTCTTGTTTTATGAAAAAGTTTCATGTGCTGTGAACTGTGCATGAGACAACAGCAAATGCTCCTTATAGAGAAGGTGCTGGGAAGGCATTAGGGATCTTAGGTCCTCTTGCTGAAGCCAGTGCATTCTATGTGGAATCACAGCAGATTAGAAGGCTTATGTGCAGCGAGTTGAGACTTGCAGCAACATGGCAGTGTCTTTGCAGCTGGAATGAATGTAGTCTTTATCTAACTTAACTATCTTGGTGAAGCTCTTGCTCCCAAGTCATCTCTCTTCTGGTTTAGATTTTCATTCCACAAACCACGAACTGCCTATGTTTCCCATTAATATACCTCTTTCTGAAACTTTTGCCTATATCAAAATATTTTATTGCTAAATTCTATTGATTTGGCCTTCCATGTTTCTTTATAGTGTGACTGGGATTGTCCTGCCATGTTTTAAGGACTCAGAGCCCATCACTGCTACATGATTAAGGTGTAGCAAATGAACTAATGAGGATTTCAAGAACAGATCTTGACACTTTGAACTTTTGCTCTTAAGAGATTCTTCTGCACGTCTAGAACCCTGCAAATAAACAGACATTTTTGATTAATGAAAAATGAAGACACTTTATTTTTTCATAAAATAACCTTTTTTTTCTATCCAGCAACCAAGAACCACTATAATCTGTCTAACTTCACTTCAACACATAAAAGTTTATCAAAATTGGTTGGTAGTCTCTTTGTAGGAGAGTCATGAACATTACTCTTGGGTCATAGCTTTGTTAAAATTGATCCTCAAATGCATGCATCTTTTATTTCATCTGAAGGAATTATTGTCTTTCCTAATTAAATCATAAATAATGAATTTATTTTCAGAGAAAAATATTAAGGCATGATTCTTTCCCACATAATATGACAGTTGCATTTTTTAATGTAGAAATAATGAACTTGAAGAAATGCTTAAATTACTCAAAATCTCAAAAGGAAAAATAAGATTTCCAAATTGCATTTTATAGTAAATACAATTCTTTCTTTTAATGTCATGTCAACACTTTATGGCACTTGAAGCTACCAAAGATCAAATCATACTCATTTATGTGTTTCAATTTTTTCCCATTTCTTTGCCAGTCTTCTCTATGTTATTGTGAATTTCAGAACATAAATCTGAAATGCTGAACCAAGAAATTCCTACTCTCCCCTCAATGTGCTAAGGGAAAGGAATAAAAAAGACATTCCAATCTATTGCTAGAGTTCAGAATACCCTTCAGAGGACCAATATATAAATATTTTATAATAGATTAAATAGAGAAAAAAATCACTAGTTAAGTAATATAGGAAATGGTTTCTAAATAAGGGCCGCATTATTTAAGCTCTGATGTTAATTGTATGTGATGCCTTGGAGGAAAACTGAAGTTGGACATCATGTTGCTATAGGGAAAGGAAGAGTTAAAGAACATATGGACCTGCTCGGCATCAGAGAGCTTGCTAGAGGCTGTTCGGAAAGAATAAGTTGGAAAAGAGGGGATGTGCTGAATCACAACCTCTATGTGGTTTCATTACATGCAAGGGAGTCTTTGACAGAGAACTGCTGATTACATTACTGGGATGATGAATGGAGGCGAGAGGAGTTACGCTGTCAAGAAGCCCGGAAAAGGCTTCTTCTTACATTTTAAACTGAAAAGCAAAAGCTGGGTGAGAGGAGATGGTTAGAAATAAACCTGAGAACTCTACTGCATGCCATGTTACTGGTTATGACCAGTTTTCAAGACGGTGTGCGTCTTTCAAATATTTTTGTGTCTCAGTTTCTGCATCTGTAGGTTCACCATTCATGAAATTAGAGTGCACAGAAGGAACATCTAAGGGCTTGAGAGTTCACTTGGGCTGTGTGCTTTGATATGTCTGTGAGCTAACAAGGTTAAAATGCTTAGCGTTCCTTTATAAAATAGCTTCTTAAATTTAGCAAAGTCATTTCCAAATAAAGCTTGATGCCCCAGAGGTAAGGAAAAATAGAGGAGGCTGCCTAGGTAGGCTGTCAGCAGTGAACCTTTTCCTTGGATTAAGTAGTCAACTGATCATGTGAATAAGAAAGGAGTTTTGGTATGGGAGGTATGGTAGAGAATAGGTGTCACAGTAACAGGGAATATTGAAGTGACAAGAAAAAAATGTTTTCAAATAAAGTAGGTGCCAAATAAAAGTAAGCAATGGTGGGAGGATACCGTGGGCTTAAAGGGGTAGATGGTGGCACAGCAAATGGCTGTGTGGCTAGAAGGAAGCTATGCGTGCGGAATGGGGAAGCTGGAGCGATCTCAGCATCTCTACAACTGAGTGTGGATTCCTTCTACAAAGGAAGTTTGGAAGTAGCTCTGGGCTTTGCCCATAGCAAAGAAGAGCTTCCTGTCAGCCCTCGTGATAAGCCATGATGACTGAACACATTTATTGTGTAATGATTATTGATAAAGCAGTATAAACAATGTTGATTCTTTTTGCTTCACCTTGATTTTTTATTTTAAATGCTATATATTGTGTCTGTCATATGTAAAAATCAGAATTCTGTGGTTAACCATCAGTCATCTATCTTGATTTCATGTGTGGAAACCTTCTCTATGTTATACTATATTCCTTCCTTCACTCCGGTTCCCTCTCCCATCTCTCTCTCTCTCTCTCTCTCTCTCTCTCTCTCTCTCTCTCTCTCTCTTTCCCCTTTCTTCAGCAATATAGTGGGCAAGTGCAGAAAAGTAACAGAAAAAAATATTCATGGCCAAATATTGCTATGGAGAGTTGAATCACTCAATAATTTTATTATTGTCATGTGTTTTTTGTTTGTTTTAAGCATATTTAAGGGGAAAAGAAGAGTAATTCAGAGTTTTTTTTCAACTCACGTGAATTGGAGGTGGGTCTTTAGGCAGAAAGTGATTTTAAATGGAAAGAAAACATAATCACAAGGCACCAGCAAGAGGCCTGGCACTCGGGAAGTTAATAGGTGGTTTTCCAATGATACCTCCGGGAGCTCCAGGCACAGAGGTGCAGATATGATTTCAGTTCCCAACAAGTGCTGTGTTGTATGGAGCAAAAGGAGTGGGAGGGCCTTTGCTGGGACCCAGCATAGCTGCATGAGATGCAGCCAGCCTGGTGGCCTCAAGAGATGGCAGCTGTAGCCCCAGGTGGTAAATATAGGACGGCAGCTTGATCTATCGACCAAGGGAAGAGGGGTTCTGGGCTAAATGAAAATTCATGAAAAATTGATGAAGTCCCCAGATTATTTTTTTTTCCGTTTCCCTTTCTCGACACTACGCTTGTGCAGAGGATAAATTAACGAGGTGATAAACATTCTAAAGCTGGGGGCTTCTGGTTCAAAGTTCAGGGATACTTGGGAGAAAAACGGCTTTGTTTTTTTTTTTTATGTTTTCTGTTTGTTTGTCTTTTCCCACTGCTTACTTTAAAGGCAAATACAGAACTTTTCAAATTGCCTTTGTTTTGGTAAGTTCAGAAAAGCTAAATCTAAATATTCAAATGAAGGCTTTTGGTTTGCTCCTCAAGAGAAAACATACATGATTCCTAAATCCAGTTGGAGTATGAGTATGAATTCCATGAGGCAAGATTGTTTGCTTTTCGTTATTTCTTCTTTTCCTCCTCCCAGTAGCCCCGTTCCCCCTAGTGTTCTCCATGTAGCGATACTCAGGCTCCGGGAACATAATTCAGAGAAGGATAAGGCGCTGCATTATTTATAGATCACAGATTGCTAGAATAACAAGCTGCACAATAGTCCTGATTGTTTTAAATCTACCACTAAATTGCTATTTTATTTGTACAAAGAAGAATGGGGACATGCATGGATGAACTGTGCTGTGAGAGGGAACGGTTGCCCTGAAAATGAACACAAGGTAACCTTTTAACTTCAGTCCTACAAGCTGGCGTGTATGGAGCTTTTCATGTGCTTGATTTTTTTTTTTGACTGTGGGTAAAAATTATCCAGGTAGAATGGTTTTATTCTTCGTAAAGACTTAAGACAATTTAAATTTAAAAGAACTTAAATTTAAGCAATGCAGAGCTCCTTGAATTTTTTTTTTTTTTTTTTTTTTTTTTTTTTTTTTTTTTTTTTTTTTTTTTTTTTTTTTTTTTTTTTTTTTTTTTTTTTTTTTTTTTTGCTTGTTTTCGTTTTGACGAATGGTTTTACTGTGTATTCCAGGGTGGTCTCAAACTCCCAACCACCTTCCCTCAGCCTGTCAAATGCC